AACCCCCCAACCAACCTACCTACCTACCTACCTACCTACCTGTCCATCCGTGCAACGCTGTGCCCATGGATGGCGCTAATCATACCCAGTAGTCATCACCGATCCCATCCAATCCTTAACCCCCGCCGGTATCCAGATTTGTCCTCCCTCTCCAGCGAAGACGTATGATGGGTGCTGTTGTATCGCTCTCCGGGCTTCTGCAAAGCTACTCCTCTAGGAAATACCTCGTAACTCGGTATACATAGATTTAGCGAAGAGATTCTACCAAAGATCTACTTGTGTGAAACGGAGTAGATGGGTCCCCGTAGTTTGTCCTGGCTTAGGGGGGGGCTGTCGAGGTCGGGATTGCGGATGGTGTTAGCTGGATGGTTATCATTATGAATACAATCGATTCTATTGCTCTAACCAATATTCAGGATATCCAGGTACAGAGGCAAACGGGGTAGAAGGACAGATGTATACGTCAAGACGATACGGTGACTTGGTAGGTTGAAGGTATACAGCTTGAATCCTTTGTTTTGCCGCGTGGGTTGGGTGATGTTGGAGGTTCTGAGCACGAAATACGACAGTCTTTCTTTTGACTGGTCTATAGCAGTAGCAGCAAAGCTAGGTGTCATCCCGGTAAGTATATACAAATACAACCAGGAACGTTGGATGCCGGACAGCATCGAGGGATAATCTAGGGCTTCGGAAGTAGCACATCTAGTTCTTACACGAACATTGAGGATATGAAGGCCTTTTTTTACGGGGGTGGGGCGGAAAGCAAATTTCTCGTACCGCACGCACCGCACTACCGGCTTGTTACTGTGGAAGCCTCAAAATCCATATACCTACCCTGCTCCATCCACTCTCTCGCCTTGAGCGCCATACTCTCGGACTCCACATCTAGCAACACATTGGCCGGGACGCACGGCAGCTCGCGCTGACCCAATGCGCGGGAGTGCTCGAGGATGCACCGGACCATCCAGCCGTCGAATTTGTGAGATTCCGTGGAGAGCAGGCAGATGTTTTGGAAGGTCATTAGTCTGTTGATCTGGTTGGTGGATGGGTCAGTATGATCTGAATGTGTTCTTGGGTTTTTTTGGGGGGGGCGGGGGGAATTACCATGGCTTTCGTGTTTGGCCAGAACTGCTGTTGCTCGATCAACACCTCAAAATTGGCATTCAGCGCGGCGCGCGCGCCCTCGAGTTCTGTCGGGTCGCCCAGGAGGAGAGTGTGGAGGAGGACGGAGGAGGAGACGGTGGTCATGTGGCCGATGGTCGGGTAATTGTTTTCGCAACCCTTGATTTGCCGGGCGAGGTGGAGGAGGTTGCTGAAGGAGGAGGCGTGGTGCTTGCAGCGGCGGATGTAGATGCGGGAGTTATGGGATGATGGCTTGGATGAAGGGGCTTGCGTGCGGTGGTGGCTTTGGGTATGGGTTTGGTCGTCCTCGAGGAAACGGAAGTACAGCAGGGTGGAGTAATGGTGATACGCCAGGTGCAGAGCAATGAAGAGTCCCCCTCGTCCGGACTGCTGGTGACTGTGTAGGTTGGGCACCGTCATCTGCGTCTCGGCGGGGAGCATCTTGTTCCACGCTTCGAGCTGTTCGCCTAAGTCCTGGACCTCCTGGTCCAGTTCGACGGTGTCGGTGCAGCCGCGAGCGGCCTGACGGTTAAGGTCCTGAATCGGGCCGAAGAATCGCACCAGCGACACCATGTGCGCCCAGAGGCCGAGTTTCAATTTTCAATATGGTAGGTTCGAGGTGTACTGTCGGCGGCGGTGCTTCTGAATCGTTGCTCGTGTCGGGTGGTAGAGACTGGAAGGTGATCTCGTCTATAGGCAGCCCGTAGGGCTTGCTGTATTCGTCCATGTGACGGGGGAGACCGAGCCCCGAGGAACACCAGCGGTCCGCCACGTAGAGCGAGCACCAGACTCTGCGGATGATTTCGCGCGTGATGAGGGATCCGTTCATCGCTGGGGAGGAGTCGAGCGACATGATCTCGGCCATTGAGGTGGCGATTCCTAGTGATTTGTGAATCGGCTGAACCCTTCACAGAGAGAAAAGATGGAAAGCAGTAAGGACATCTCGTACGAACGAAGAGTGCCTCCGAAGATGGCTCACAATTTCCCGCACTCAGGGTCGCAATCAGGATGCAGGTCTGCATGTTCTCGAGACAGACATTCTCAAGGTCGCCTTGGAGCAGCCGCTTGGCCTCCCCGGTCAACCGCGCTTCCAGGTCGCGTCGGTCCGGGTATGAAGAGAACTTGGCCCCGGGGGCGCAGACAGCGTACAGTAAGGCCTTTCCCACGGTGCCATTGCGCACCTGGGCCCGCAATGTCGCCGGGTGGAAGATACTATGCGGCCTATCGTGGACCTTGGCGAGATACAGGTCGACCAGCTCCACAGTGGTCTCCCAGGGGAATCGAAATGGGTCCGAGGTTGGGTGATGATGCCGGACAGGCTCATTGCGAGATTGCTGTTCTTCGCTGAGAACCACCACCGGCTCGGGATTTGGCTCGCTGTTCACTCCCACCGGGTTTTGCCTTCGCAACTCGGCACTACATTTGATTCGTCGCTGCTGACATGCGTTGCAGGGCTCGCCTGGGCCGAGGCGAGTGCATTTTCGTTTGGAGGATCGGCATTGCAGGCATGCTTTTGGGGCTTTCATGCTGTTTCGGAGTGACGGGGTGGATGAGGTGTACGGAGTAGAAGTAAAGTACATAAAAGAGGTCGGGGTTGAAGGATTCCCAGTGGTGGATTGGAGCGGAGGCAGCGGCCCCACAGCCTCTCCATACATCGGGATTCCTGTATCTCAATTGGCTCTTTTCCGAAATCTCCGAAACCACCCCGATGTATGGAGTCACTTTTTACATGCGACCACCACCCATGATATCAGGTGGATGCTCATCCACACTCACTACTAATCATAATCTCCTCACCGGGAAGCTACCAGAAGCAGTAAAAATGCACGAAGAACAGGTATATAAGGACTGCAATCGTGTCCGCTTTCATCGCTAATGCTCAATTTTAATCTCAACCTCGAAACTCCTATTTTCCACCCAGTTCGACTATTATACAAATTATAAACATCCAAAAGGCACTCCAAGATGTCAAGCCTCTTAGAGCCCATCATTGTCGGCGGAAAGCTTCCGCTGAGAAACCGTGTGGTCATGGGCTCTATGACCCGGAACCGCTGCCTCGACCGCATGCCCGGTGCAGCACAAGTCAAGCATTACGCAGACAGAGCCAGGGACGGCGTCGGCCTGATTGTGAACGAGGGCACCTTTGTAGACTGGACTGGCTGCGACTGGCAATGGTCGCCCGTCATGATCGAGATGGAGCATGCCGAGGCATGGCGGAAAGTGACCGATGCCGTCCATGAAGCCGGTGGGAAGATCTTTTTCCAAGCCTGGCACGCAGGTAGGTGGATGAGCTTAACAAAGATGGGTGATGTCGCCATGTGATACTCATGCAGATCTGATAGGTCGGGCTCAGCATGACCAAATGCCAATCATGAAAGAAAAGGGTGGACGTGTCCTGGCGCCATCCAGCATCAAAGCTGAAGGGGGAAAATATCGTGACCTTCCGGGTCAGCCGGTATGGGATCACGTCACTCCACACCTGTGCCTTATTGAGGATATCGCTGACCACAACCTGATGTAGGGGCATACGGATAACGTTGAGGAAATCAAGAACCCGCGTGACGTGATCGATACCTATCGACACTCCGTTCTGCTGGCTAAACATGCAGGCTTTGACGGCGTTGAGCTGCTGGCCCAAGGGTAAGTATATGCGATATCACTTGGTCACAGGATTGGTACTGATACATATCGCGAACCCAGCGGTTATTTACCCCAACAATTCCTCAACATGTAGGTATTCCTCCCCTAAAGTCTTCAACAACTAACAAACACAAGTCGTTCAAACAAGCGAACAGATAGCTATGGAGGTTCAGTAGAAAATCGCTGCCGATTCACCCTTGAATTAGTCGATGCCATTGGCGAGGTATTCGGGGGACCCGAGCTAGTCTGCGTCAAGATCAACCCCACGGACTTCTACAATGACTCCGCGACCACTTTTGAGGAGATGAAAGAGACCTACACGTTCTTGATCAAGGCGCTCGTTGACCGCCGAGTGGGCATCGTTAACCTTGGCCGCCGCGGAATTGATCCCAATGCAGGCACCGGTGACTTCTTCGGACGCAGTGGTCGACCCGAGGAATTCCCTCTGCCCCCTGGGTACGACCCTGTCTTGGACCTTGGCCCGCTGGTCAAGTATCCCGGCAGCCCGTCCTTACTCATGGCAAACCATGATTATACACCTGAGGAGGCGGATCGGCTGGTCAAAGAAGGGAAGCTGGACTTGATAACCTTTGCGAGGCCCTTTATCTATAACCCGGTGAGTAGGCTGATTTTTCGAGGTCATTCCTGAATGCTCAACTAACGATATCAGGATGTAATTTCGCGCATCAAGAATGGCATTCCTTTCGCCGAGAATGATCGGGGCAAGACTGTGCACTACGGACCCTATCGGGTACCCGACGAGAACTACAATGACTGGCCTGCTGCTTCCCTTTAGTACATTTTTAATTATTCGGGTAGAAGGGTATGAGGAAGCTGCCGAGGGAATAAGGAAGAGACCCAATTGAGGATATATCACATACCTGTACAGCGTACTCTGCAAGTACCCATAATTGAAATTACCTATACACAAATCACATGCTGTGAGCAAGGACTGCCGGGCTTGATCAACCGCTCTGCGCAGAATTCGTATCTCCGTCTTTTGCCTTTGTTTTCGAGCGCATTTTGCACCAGCAATCGCCGAAGTTCCTCTTCTTAGTCGGCGAAAACGTGCCTGGTTTTTCTTTGGGTGAGTAAATGCTGTTCTTCGCATCTATAGGGACTCCATGCACGGATTTGAGTTTCTGCTGCTAAGCACCAAGGGAGGCTTGTAGGGGAGCCGGCCTTTCTCAATGTCTCAATTCGATGTCGTTGCGTCTCTGTAATGAGATCTTGCTGCTCATTAATGAGACATTGCTGGATATCAACAACACGCCGCAGCACAACATAGAATAGGATCGGTTGGAGTGGTTTGAAAGCCGTTGTCCGAAGTTGTGGGGAAAGATCGTTGCTTAGTGCTGAGTCTAGACCTTTCGAATCTCTACCTCCCTTGCTACAAAGTTACAAAGTAGATAAGGGGGGGGAAGATCACCGTTAGTGACTTTCTGGTAAAGCCAAGATCTCAAGCACCTTGCCTGCTTCATAGAGTCATAAAAGAAATTATAATCAAAATAGAGACCAGAGAAGACTCCAGGTCGGATCATATCTGTGTAGAATATAGATCGTTGCCGAGCGTACTACTCAGTAGGTAAGGTGCTGCAGCTTCCCTCTTTTTCCCCCCACCGCACCTTATCGATAAAAAGGACCGGACTGACACGTGACGTTCACCCTCCGAAGCTGTAACAGCGAAGCTGACCATTCCCACTCTCTCGTTTCATTTCACTGTCCATGTCATTGAAGTATCTCTCGTCGTGCCCTTTCGGTTCTGATCTGGCCCCGTAGCATGCTTGGTCTTGGCCTGCTCATCTACTGACCATGGCGTCTGAATTTATCGGCTACGATGTGCTGGTGACTCTGCGAACGCCACCAAATGCAACTGTGCAAGGAGAAGTGGCCAATGTCATCGGCCAGCGTCTAATTCTACGGAATGGTTGGTAGAGCAATTCTTCAACACATCTTTTTGAACAGTTTCTCCAGGCTTGACCAAGAATCATCGCTAATCAACATGATCCCCACTTCTTAGTCAAGCTATCGTGGATCGGTCACCCACTTCCGTCCTACTCCGTCGACGCTCCGGATATTGCGGACCTCTCAATAGCACCATCAGGCCAGCCCACTGCCCAGCAGCCCCCTGTCCCCCCTGCTCCATTTTCTCACAAGGAGGCAGTGGGTGCTACTTTTGCGCCACCCGCGCCATCAGCACCACAGCCTTTTGTGGACCCAGCGATTCTGAGTTTCTCGAAACCTCCCTCAAAACCAGTCGACCACAGCCCAGAAGCAGCGGCACCTTCGAGCTCCCAACACCCTCAGCTATCGCAGCAAGTCGTTCGTGATCAGGCTGCTGTCCTTAATGAACCGTTCAGCAACCTTGAGCTAGATGTGAACAAGGCCCCACCCGAGAGTGGAATCGCGACACAAACTGCACCCCCTTTGCAACAGAGCTTACATTACGGACCCAAGACCAATCGTCGCGGTGGTGCGCCTAAAGTCTCCAAAGTTGTCAACGAACACGATGGAGCAGCCAATACAAACCCGAAGACCAGGGGCTGGCGCCAGACAGCCTTTACCGAGCCCTCGCACCCACAACTCGCTGAGACACGCAACAAGCAGCGGCGGAAGAAGAAGGGCAGAGCCAGTTATGCTGAGGACCCGAATGGCTGGGCGACAGAAGACGCCACGGATATCCAGGAATTGGGCGAGTTCGATTTTCAGAGCAATCTTTCCAAGTTCGACAAAAGACGGGTTTTTGAGGAGATTCGTAATGACGACACTACCGCCGATGAGGAACGCTTGGTCAGTTTCAACAGAAGACCGAAACCCGGAACGAACGGTGGGAGAAACCTGCATTGGACGGAAAACGTTCTCGACAGTCTTGAGGAGAGTGAGGAGGAGCTTACTGATCACGTCCCGAGCGACGCGAAGCTTAGCAGCGGAACCTACTCAGGACGTGAGCGCACGCTGTCTTCCAGGGCGCCACCGTCTCGCAAAGGCAGTGCTATTCTCGGACAGCCATTGGTCCCTGCACAGGTCAACTCGCTTGGTCGCAGTCAATTGAGCACGTCTCGAACCACCAGCCCACGCCCGAATAAAACTCCCGTCTCGGCATCGCCGATAAGCGGTCCCGGTGTGCCTGGTGCCTCTCTGCGCCTCACGACTACCAACAGAAGCTGTCCAACTGTGAGTCCGCTCCAGACTCTTGAGGTTGAGCAGATTGCGGTCGCGGAGCTCGGCCTCACCGAGGACATGATAACAGAAAACACTGGGCGAGGCATTGCGGAAGCCGCCGTCGGCCTTCTGACTAGTGATGCGGCCGCCCCGACAATGCTTATACTCACAGGCAATCACCGGACTGGAGCACGGGCTATATCCGCTGCTCGCCATCTGCGCAACAGGGGTCACCGTGTCACCGTCTGTATGCTGGGAATTGAGCACGAAAACGAGCTGTTAGAGAATTGCCGCAAGCAACTCGACGTGTTCAAGAAGATCGGCGGTCGAGTGCATCGGTGGGAAGATCTCTCAGCCCGACTGACAACCTCCGAGTTTGCTCCCGACTTGGTGGTCGATGCACTATTTGGTATTCACATTGCCTTTGAGGACCTTCGCACAGACGATCAAGCAGTAGCCTTCGAAATGATTTCGTGGGCCAACAGGAGTAATCTTGAAGTCTTGTCTGTGGACGTCCCCTCCGGTCTTTCTGCTATTAGTGGTGAGTCTTTCTTCCTTGGACGTTGATTGAAACTGCGGCTGGTCTCTAATATGATACAGGCGAAGCGACGGTGGTGGAAGGCGGTCGAGTCTGCGTCAATGCTAAGTCAGTGGTTTGCCTAGGCGCTCCAAAGACTGGTATCGTCAACGCCTTGCTCTCGGGAGAAGGACTATCATGGAATCTCTCGGTAGCAGACATTGGAATCCCTCAGATTGTGTGGAGGAAATATGGCAGTCGACGACGCCACGGAATTGACTTTGGCAACCGATGGGTGGTGCCGCTACGCTACCAGCCACCTCCTGTGTAAAGCAGGCTTTGCATGCATGTGATGATTCTATGACCCAAAAAGTCTTATGGCGTTTTCTAGGAAGTGGGAGATTGCAGAGTAGATCAGGTACTCGCGTTGTGAATGATGATGATGAGGGGGGGAAGGGCGGGTAAGGGCGAGATTACCATGAGACGTGACCTTGTGAAACCGAATAGTCGACGGCGGCTTTGTATTATAGTGCTGTAGATTTAGCAATAAAACCCATATTATGACGTTCATTGTGATTCTTTGACCCGCATTGTCTCTATGCCCGGTTCGTTTAAAAAACATTTATTACTATGAAGTTATCAGCCTTGTGGTGTGCCGGCTGCACTTGCCGACTATGGCAGGTACGTGATCTCAACTCCAACAGTAGTATCAAATCTCAATGCAGCTTTAAGGTTGGAGACTCAATCATCTCAAATAGAGGCTTTCACATTTTTAATCTCTATCATGGCGCTGACGAGGTTCGTGGCCAGCGCTTATGGAAGAGCGTCTAGTCGACAGTCTTGCCAGGGGTGATTTTCTAGCGCATGCGCTACGCTTCTTTTGCACATGGTATTCATTCACTTCCCACTGCAACTCTTACTCAACCCGAGTCCTTGTTAAGTGTTATCTCCTCTTTCCTGAAGTCAGACTTCTGTGCCATCAGTTCACCCTACTTGACTCTTTGAGCCTCTCCCCATCCTATCGAGCCTGGGCCTAAGAAGACCGCCTTATCACCAGCATCATGTCGTCGAACATCACATCATCACCGGCCGACCAAGCAATGCGCCAGCTGCAGTCAGAGCAATCTCGAGTTCTGGATATCATCGATGAGTTGCGCACCATCGGCGTTGGGGCCCTGGTGGAGCTGCCCCAGCTGATTGTCTGTGGCAATCAATCCAGCGGCAAGAGTTCGGTCCTGGAGGCCATCTCACGCGTTCGATTCCCAGCCAAGAGTAATGTGTGCACGCGGTTCGCGACCTGAGTCATTCTCCGCCGGCGACCGTCAAGTAGTATCAACGTCTCCATCGGACCAGGTCCATCGCGTACGAAGGAAGAGGAGAGACAGAGACTCCGTGGATTCACCGCGGAGGCTTTCTCCAATGGCGACGACCTCCCCTCACTAATCGAGAAAGCCAAAGAGTGCATGGAAATTACGGAATCCGTGAACGCCGGTTTCAGTGATGACGTGCTCAAGGTGGAAATCTCTGGCCCAGACAAGCCCGAGCTGACGTTGGTGGACCTGCCAGGCCTGTACTACTCAACCAGCCAGGACCAAGGCCGCAAGGGCATCAGCATCGTCCGGGGCACCACCGAGAGCTACATGAAGAACACCCGCAGCATCATTATGGCGGTCATCACGGCGAAGGCCGACTACCATCTACAGGAGGTCCTGGACATGGCCCGAAAGTTTGACCCGCAACGAGAGCGAACGCTTGGTATCATTACCCAGCCGGACGTCCTGGAGCCCAGTTCAGAAGAGGAGGATACATACCTGCAGTTCCTCAGAAATGATAAAGTATCCTTGCAGCTTGGCTGGCATGCGTTACGCAATCGTTCGTTTGAGACGAGAGGTGCATCAGATGATGCTCGAGACGAAAAAGAAGCTGCGTTCTTTGAACAGAGCCGGTGGGCCTCAATCCCTCGTGAGAACGTTGGCATATATAGTCTTCGTCGTCGGCTGAGTAACATATTGTTCAAACACATTCGCCGCAATCTTCCCGAGTTGGTCACAGATGTCCGAAAGAAAATCGAGATTCGGCAGAGCAGACTCACGACGCTTGGGGAGGCTCGTTCAAGCCTGCAGCAACAGCGAGGCTTTCTTCTTGGCATAAGTACCGGCTTCGAAAAGATTACAGGCCAGGCATTGAACGGCATGTATTCAGACAGGTTCTTCGAAGATGGGCCAGCATGTATTCTCATGAGCCAGGATGATCGCCGCCTCCGGGCGATGATTAGAGAACTGAATGAGTGCTTCGCTGAGGCCATGAGTATCAGGGGCAAGCGACGCACTATTATAAATAGTTGGAATCAGAGCCTATCACGTTCGGACATCGCAGCGTTGAGTGCCAAACCCTATATGAGAGACTGGAAATACTCATGCGTCAGCCGCGAGTCTCTTGAATTCGAACTCAACAGCCAAGCGCGTCGAAAACGAGGTATCGAGCTTCCCGGAAGTGCCAATCAATTGCTTGTCGGAGATCTGTTTCGTGACCAGGCCAGACTTTGGGAGGAAATTGCTCGTGAGCATATGATGCATGCTTGGTGGGTAGTGAGATATTTTATCCATTCTGTCCTGCAACACCTCACGACCGAGCACACATATTCGTTGATAGCCACGTCTCTTATCGATCCGGAACTCGACAAGATGAAAGAGTCCCTCCTGGCGAAGCTGAAAGAATTGACAGCTTACACGAAACGCGGACACCCTCTGCCTGTAGGAAAGAGCTTTCTTTCTAAGATCCAAAAATCCCGAATTGACCGCCAGTTCAAAGCACTAGAAAAAAGACTGTTAATGTCAAAGAATGCTTCTGCGGATGCCCCCTTTACCTTGAATGACTTCAAAAAAGCTACTATAGGTTCAGAAACAGAGGGAAATGAGTTCGCTGCGGCGGAAAGCATTGATCAGATGCAAGCTTACTATGATGTTAGTGACATCTGCCAACTTGAACCGCATATCTACCCTCCTAACAACTTATCTGAGTTCTTCTAGACCGCTATAGTGACCTTTGTGGATAACGTTGCGATCCTTGGCATTGAGAACTGCTTGCTCGCCCCCCTGGAAACCATTTTCACGGCCCAGACTATCAACAACTTGAGCGATGAGAGGATTCAAGATCTCGCTAGTGAACCATTCTCGGTTGAGCAAGAGCGAAAGTGCTTGTCTGAAGAGCTGCGCAGATTGCAAGAAGGCTTAAGCACACTCCGCCTTTTCAGCACACAGAGGCCAACGCTATCAAAACCCATGGTTTTCAGTAAGGTTCTGTTGACCAGGACACGGCATGCAGGAACTGACTTGGGATATGATCAAGTGCAGAGCCCTGTATCTGATGCCAGGACTTCGACTCCTTTCAGAAGCACTGACAAATACGAGGACTCAGAGAAAAACGGTCCTTCTTGTAAGTGTGTAGGCTGAATTGCCGCAAATATCACTAATCATTTGGATAGTTTCAGCGCAGCCAAGTGCTAGCCCATTTACTGTGGCATCCTGTGATATCGAGCAGGCCAAAACCTCTAGCTCGTATTCTAGCCGTTCTTCCGCAGCCTCTACACAAACACGGGACCCTGCTCCTCGCAGCATATTCGGTACCGGATCTACTCCGCAATGCTCCGTTTCAGATAGTGCAGCATCATTGTTCTCAACTCAAAATAAGTCCACATTTTCTGTGACCCCTGAAACAGCTCCGAGCTCCAATATATTTTTTCCCAAGGGTACTATATTCAGTACGGAGACAGGCCCCACGGCTACTTCTGATCATTCTACAATAAAGTCCCCAGGTACAAAATCCGGCAAGAGTCTATTTGGAGCTCCAGTCAATTTTGGGGTCCTGGGTTCTACCAATATTTCTACCGCTACTCCTGATCGTTTTACCTCGAACCCCCTCGGAAGAAAGACCGGCACGAGACCTTTCGGGTCTCCACCCAATGTACTCGGGTCATTCGGCTCTACTAGCGGTACAAGCTCTGCAAACAACACTAAAAGCAGTGGTAATTCCTCCAAGACTCCGAGCACCTCACGCCGGCGGATGCGCGCTGGATTTGTGGTCGACAGCGATTCGGAGTAAGATCGTCTACATGTAGCTTAATGATATGATGAGCGGGAGATCTGGGGGCTGGCGAAGCATTGTGTTGGACAAGCCACCTGTAAAAAATGCAACCACCGGCTTATACCCTGAATACGAGCTATAAACAAATCGGCCAAGCGAAAATAATACGATTCCAGCATTGTAGCAATGATTTGTCAACAAAAAGTAGATAACTACAAGTAGAATAATCTACAGCGATAACTCACAAGCGATGTAAGCCAATAACTATAAAAATATCTATAGATCAATCACATTTGACCCTCCTCCACACCAACCCCACCCACCATAAACTATACAAAACAACACCAAACCACCCAACATGCCACCCCCCGGCCACGTCAACTACATAATGCTCGACATCCTCACCAACACAGCCTACACAGGAAACCCGCTGGCCGTTGCCTTCCTCCTTCCCCCCCCCCTCCTCCTCCACCAGAGGCTTTGATGGGTAGGATCTCCCTTCCAGTCACTACCTCTTCTATTTATCCCCTTCGTTACTCTTCTTTGGCTCTCCCTTGAGTTTTGCTTCATTTGTGCGTTTGAATGATGTAGTACCAGCAGAAACTCATGATTTTTGACGATCTTTTTGGGGGCTAGGCCCTATCTTCGGGAAAGAACTGCTGAGGGCAATGTCGTTAATGTCTATCAACACATCGCTTTGTCACCGCGATTCGCTGGCTTCTCTTCAGAAGTGAGTTAGATTGACGCCTTGTTATGCATGCAGGTGATACTAATAGGAGCACAGAAGCTTCGACTCGGAGACTATGAACGGGGTGACAAACTTCACACACCATGGTCCCTAGGTTCATGATAACATTGCTGTTTGTGTTTGTAACTACCATAAGCATGGCTTTTGGACTGGCTGATGTATAGCGTTGTTCTTCGATTCTTCTCTGTTTATCTTATCACTGGTAGAAATCTGGTGGCAAGTAGACAAGCCCCGCAACGTCTTAAGTAGTCAAACAGTTACTATCCTTGTACAGTACTTATGGGTGCATTATCCGCATGACCCTTCTTTCTGGAGATCAATGACTCTCTTCCGTCTTGCCAGCCGCGAGAGTAAACCTGGGGATGAGTATGGAGAGCTTATACAAATTTATGCTACAAACGCATGGCGACTCCCCGTTTGATTGTCAGCACCTGTGAGCCGCGATGGTGCCTGTCTGTGTCTAATTCAGCCCTGTATCTGGATCTTTTTTATTAGCAGTGTCACTACGGAGTTAATTAATTGATCAATTGATCGACAAGTTCTGTTAACCGGAGTGAAGCCGCTTCTAAGTCGCTAGCTATCAGTTGTCAAGTGCACTATACCCATAACACTCCTTGATACTACTATAAGAGGTTTTTGACTCGGAATCGTTGTATAATTTGATCCTATAGGCCTAGGCTCTGTAGATATTCTAGTTGCATAGAGCGGCTGCCTTTTTTTCTAAAGTCTAATATTAAAGTAGTAGATACATTAATATCTAAAGCTAAATTAGACTAATCTGGCTAGTCCAGGATGAACAAAAGGCTTTAGATACAGGTAATTTCCCTACCTATCTTCCTGGTAGACTTGTTCTATCCTAGATCGATCTAAAGATAGGTACCTTGGGATTTGATATATTACTATGAGGAAACTTACAATATCGCCTGGTCCATGAAGCATGTGCTGCCCCCCTAGGTAAGCAATATGTATTTCTGGAAGCGCGAGTGAACGCAATGCCGGGCTTTTCTCCAGCTTGCCGGATGTAGATGCCGCTCTATTCCATGGACGGCACGAATGTTGAGGGCTAAGACATACCCTCAACCAAGCAGCGCTTTCCTATGCGTATCATGACTTGTTGCTGAACTAAACGCCACTGCATTGGAATAGATTGGATCTTCCTTTAGCTATGCTCTCGCTCACCCACTTCCTCTGCTCTTTGCCCAGACGCCTTGGGAGACAGGGGCTTGCAACAAATGAACTCCGGAACAGCTTTTAAGTCTTGTGATTTAGGCAAAGATGCCCCCGGTGTTTCTGGAGAATAAGAGAAAAACAGATGCCTGCTTTGACCTCGGTGTGTTATCTTCGACTGTGTTTATGCTGAGCATGTTCTAGCAAGGAAATCTATTGTCAATAGGGGGCAGGCATTTGCGAGGTAGTGTTACTGTTTGACTTGGGGATATTATCTGGCAATGAAGCTTGAGTCTCTATCCTAGATGCTGTCAACAACCTCTTCTTCAGTTCTGGCATATCGTTCGTCTATCGCAGGTCGATAATTGAGCTAAGATGTGCAGTTTCCAGGTCCGCGTTTATGGCTGCGGCCACTATGTCAAGAATCTCTCCAACCCGTGCAAGGATGCTGAACGCCGCCAATCCGTGTGCGAAACCGGCATCACCGAGATCGCCTGCACGACCGGCACGCGTTATTGCGGCATACCTGGCTGTGATCGAAAGCAACGCCTCAGGCGGGAGGGACCACGTAAGTCGGTTCTTGTGGCTCTGGTCCTGGTTCTCGGTTTAGTGTTGTTCACTTTGTGACAGTGGAAATCAGGTGATAGAACCGACGGCGACTTCGATGAGGACGACATTAATTGGAAAGCCTACGACGACGACTGATTAAAAATTGTACATCATGCCCGGTTGTCCGCATCCTTGAGCTGCGACAGCGCACTCGACAAACTCGTCTGTGTCCCGATATCGTCCACCATCAAAGTGTCCGCAACCTGGTGCAACGTCTCCACATACGGGCCATCTCCTGCCTGTGATGCAATCTCTGAGAGAATCCTCCCATAAGCCCAAATGTCGTTAAATTGGCGCTCTTCAAATGTATGCTCAAAGGGCAAAGTCCTGTCTTCCGCCCAGAGCGCTGGTGCACACCACTCCCAAGTGAACCCTCCTATACCGCTAATGTCGATAAGCACTGCATTCCCCTCCTTATCGAGAACAATATTCGAAGGTTTTAGGTCCATATGAGTTTTCTTAGCCTTGTGAAAGCACTCCAATGCAGTTCCAATTTGAACAGCCCATTTCTGCCAGCAGTACTCTGCGACACGACGCTCCGTAAGGGTTTGCTGTAGAGATCCACCAGGATATGCCTCAAGCAGGATTCCAACTATCACTAGTTGTTTCTCGCCTGTAGTCGATGTCTGGTAAGGGTTCATAGATACCGCGACCCCCGCCGCCTGTGCGATATTTGGGACACCTGCGAAATACTCAAGATTTTCCAGCTCCTTGCAGATAACTTCGGTATCGCCGGGCCAGTATATAAGACGGTTGATCTTCTTGAGGACATACTGAGCCCCACCGTTGCTGACCCAGTATACATAGTCTGTGATGTTCGCACCCTTCGTAAGCTCCTCATAGTTGATCCTGCGGAAGGAACGAAACTCGTCGCACGAAGGATAGACGACTCTAAGAGGGTCTTCCTGAATTCTGCATCTTAAGAACGTCGAATTGGCGTCGCCCTTCGTCTCCGTCATGTTCGTGGTAGTGTCCACTGTGACCTCAGCTTCTAGTCCCGGCGTTGTGGAATTCTCATCCGTCTCATCCTCCTCGTTCTTCTCATCCTCGCCCAGTATGATCTCAGTCACAGTGTCGGCTAGGAGGGGGAGCAACTTGTAATTAAGCTGTTGGACAAAGCCCCGGAAGAATTCGCGTCGCTCACGCTTTGAAGCTTGCTGCTGCTGCTGCATGGCGACATTTTCAAGAAGTTTAGCGACGGGGCCTAGCAGAGTCACTGTGATCCACCATTTGTCGTTGTCAATGTAGTAGATAATCGCCTGTGAGCGACGGATCGGTTCCGGCGTTCCCAGAAGCTCGGAATATTTCATCAACTCAATGCGGGGCGTTGACTTGGTAGCACTTGATTCCTCTGCAACTGATTCTTCTGCCATATTTGATGGATGAATGAACTGGATACAGAGAATTGGAAGTAAGCTGGCTTGGGATGCACGTAACAGGGTGGTTGGAAGATGAGAGTTCACGTGCTGGACTTGAAGAGAAGTTTGGTGGTTTGATTGCACAACAAACAGTGACTAGTGAATGAATTTGTCCACCAAAATGGATGTTGCTGATACTATCATGAATGGGTGTAGGTAACCTAGTGCTGGTTGCCAGTGCAGTAGGAGGTGAGCCGATATCCCTTCCCAAACGAGTATCGCGTTTGTCAGGCCCGCGACCCGAGGGTCCATCATCTTCGTCTACATAATACCTCGATAAATCCATACCTGGTCTGCTCTATCTCTGGGGCATCCCCAACTAATCTGTAGGTCGATCCTGAAATAGTATGCCTGAGAATCTGGCCTATGATGCCTGGAGACACCGACTTTCTATTTCAAGAGCCTGGTGGCTGTTCCAATGCAGCCCTTGCCAGCGGGAGCCTAATCCAGGGAGACTGTCTCACTACCTTATACCTATCGACGGGCTCGTTACCATATCGGTCTATCCTTCATGACGATGTCGGGGGCGTGGCTTGGACTGCTGCTGCCTGATACAACTAAGCACTGTTGCCTTGGAGTGAATCATCACCGCCTCATCGCCATTCAGGATCACTCGGGGCTCTTTCGACACACGCACCTGCGTGCTCACTCCACGCTTTTGAGTTAAGGCCAGACCACCATATCTGCTCCCAGCTTGCTATACACAAGGACCTCAATCTATGTATGTAAGCCCTTGCACTAGTGCCGCGTTATGTCTTCGCCATCTCACGAGGCGGGCGCCTAGCTTGCTCCCAGAACATTTCTTTATGTTCAATGCTACCTAACTCCAGATCTTGCCATGCTTGTCATCCCCGTCGAGTATCAGACCGATAGCTCAACCGCGCATCCTGTTGCATACTTGCCGATATGCGCTCACATGGTGAATAGTCATGGCTGAATCATTGATCAGTCGACGGACCCGTCCAACTCTCAATTTCGAAGCGCAATCAACTGGTTCCGGAGTGGAAGGGGCTGTCTATAGCGATTAGTCTGCTTTGTGCAATTCACATAACGTTGACATCCGCCGGATACCACTCGCAACGACCAGCTGTGCGCCCAGTCTCACCTCATAGAGCTTGGAATCGAAGGCCAAGACAATCATGACAGGCGAAGTAATCATCGCATCTGCGGGTGGTCGATGAAGATATCCTTTGACTGTTGGTGGAAGGAGCTATACTCGCGGAGGTGCATGTGGAAATGCATGGGTTACTTCGTGTCAAGGAATTTAAAGAGTGATGTAGAGAGGCTTTTTGTGGCGCTACCGGATCTAATTTGAGCAATGAAGCCAGGGAAGTATGGAGAAAGTGTGGACTTTTCTACGACTTATCTTTGCATGTCTAAGTTTTGTGAAAGGGAACAATAGGGGGAAGTGGTTCTGTGTGGTACATCGCAATTTTCTGCTTATCATTACAGACAAATCATCCTATCGATATGTGCAATGTACGATTTGATGCTTGCTGTGTCCTTGAGCACCACCAACGGGCATTTATATACACCAGAGTAAGTACGGAGTACGGAGCAAGAAAAGTAAAAATTGCTGTACGGTATAGATTTCACAATATAATCTAACCCAAATAGGTTAGGCTCGGTCACCCGAATACATCATCTCTTGGAGAGCGGCGACAAACCAAACCCGCGGAGGAGAGCTGGCGCTGTCACAAATTCTTGGGAGCTTTTGTCGCAACGATGGGTAAAGGTAAGCCTCATTTGACTCCATCCCTGAAACCCAATCCTTCTGAGAGCTTGCTAACAGAATATAGGAACGGATAAATTATATGTGCGCTGTCTTCGCCCTCTACCTCAATCCCAGTCTGCGCTTTCGCGCGTTCCTAATCTCTTATCGCATTTGCGGTTGGGCTGACCCAAAAGTCTTCCACAGATCACGCATTCAGAATGGGCGTCGGAGGATGCATTCTCCGCCAGCGCTGGAGCTGGCGTCACGCGCGCGAAACGCGGCGGAGTCGATAATAGTTTCAAGCGCCTGCCCTTCAACTTCTGCTCGCTCTCCCTCCAACCGTACGCGCATCCGGTGTGCACCCACGAGGGCACAATTTTCGACCTGACCAACATCCTTCCCTGGATCAAGAAGCACGGCACGAACCCGGTGAATGGGGCGCCCCTCAAGAACTCCGATCTCATCAAGCTCAACCTGGCCAAGAACGAGGCCGGCGAATACGTCGATCCCGTAACCTACAAGGTTTTCACCGACAACACGCACATCGTCGCGCTGCGGCCGACGGGGAATGTCTTCGCGTGGGATACGGTCGAGCGGCTGAATATAAAGGGCAAGCTGTGGAAGGATTTGGTTACGGATGAAGAGTTCACCCGGAAGGACATCATCACGCTGCAGGACCCGCAGAACATCGAGTCGCGGAACCTCAGCTCGTTCAACTACATCAAGGAAGGCGAGAGCGGGTTGACCGAGGAGCAGATCCGGGAACGAGAGGACCCCGCCAACAACGTCAATGCCAACGCTCTGGGCAGTTCGGCCAAGATCCTGAAAGCAAGGGAAGCAGTGGCCAAGGCCCGCTCGGAGAGGGCACAGCGCGCGGGCGTCGCTGGTGCGGCTGCTGCCTCCGTGTCCAAGACTGGGGCTGGGCCTGGGTCTGTTGGTGCCTTGTCGCAGGCTAAGAAGCCGGTTGCTGGGAAAGCAACTCCCTATAATGCCGCACGGCATACGACGGGGTTGGCTGCTGCCTCGTTCACGAGCACGGGGATGACCCCGCACACGTCCGCCGACCTCGCACTGCTTTCAGACGAGGAATACATGCTGAAGAGGGGTCGCGTCAAGCACAAGGGCTATGCGCGCATCTCGACTACGTCTGGGGACATCAACCTGGAACTGCACACGGAATATGCACCCAAAGCCGTGTGGAATTTCATCAAGCTCGCCAAGAAGGGTTACTACAGGGATGTCACCTTCCATCGCAATATTAAGGGCTTCATGATCCAAGGTGGTGATCCATCCGGGACTGGACGCGGAGGCGAGAGTATCTGGGGCAAGTATTTCAACGATGAGTTCGAGGGGCCTCTGAAGCACGACTCTCGAGGCACGCTCAGCATGGCCAACAAGGGCAAGAACACGAACAGCAGTCAATTGTAAGTGATTTTAGGCACCACATCGGCGTCACCGACTTCCCCAACCTTACCGCTGACCTGCACGCCACCAGTTTCATTGCCTATCGCGCCCTGCCTCACCTGAACAACAAACACACCATCTTCGGTCATGTCATCGACGACCCGACTCCATCGTCCCCGACCTTGAACAAACTTGAGACACACCCCACCAACTCCACCACCAACCGACCCACCCCGGACATCCGTATCACCGATGTGACCATCTTCGTGGACCCCTTTGAGGAATTCCTGAAGCAGAAGCAGGCGGAGGAGGCCAAGGCCAAGGGTCACATCACGGATCCGGCGGAGGAGGAACAGAATGCACGCCGTGAGGACGACGATCGTGTGACCTGGACAGGGAAAAGGGTTCGCGGTGCCGGAAGTGGTTCTGCAGAGGAGGGCTCGGTTGGTGTAGGGAAATATCTCAAGGCCGCGCTGGCCGAACGGGCGGGCCAGGAGGAGGACGAGATTGTGGAGTATGTGGATGATGAGCCTGAGCCGGAACCGGTGCGGAAGAAGATGAGAGGCGCTGGGGGATTCGGAGATTTCAGCTCATGGGATTGAGATTTGGCATGTCCTGAAGTTTAGGGTTCTACATAGTACCATTTTAATATGGTCTGTACAAAACCACTATGGCATGATGTTGTTACTCAGTACCTAGTAGTTGTAAGTTAGTGATTGTATACAAACTCTAGTTCTCGATTGGGCATTGGGCGGAGATACCTAGTCAGGTCACTAGAGAAATTGTACGTAAGCATCGGTTGAGTGGCGTAGTTAGTTAACTTATCCAGCATGTGTCACCATGATGCTGTTGTCTTTGCTGTCTCTTTAACTACTTGACCTTACGTATGTAAGCGGACTTTCAGTGCCGAAATGGCCAGGTGCCAAGACCGAAGCTCGTCGTCGTCATCGCCGTCGTGTCTCCACAATTCCAGGGTCACGTTATTTTGCCCGATATCCCTTGACCGCTTTCCCAACTTAGTGCTCCCCCCCTCCTGCCCGCTTTCCCCCGATCGGTTTTAGTGGTGATGGAAATGGAAATAGAAGAGAAGCACGCAAAGGAAGGAAGGAAGGTGGAAGGAAGGAACTGGGCTCCATGCAGCACGGGCAGGCCAGACTAGCAACCTAGCACATTAAGTACTGTACTATACCCAGTAGTCTTTGTAGCGCACTGCTTGCTAATAATAAACCCCCTACGATCCCGCCGCCCGCCGCCTCACTACAACTTTACTACTAGTAGTAACCTACTCATTACTGCCACTGCCGATTCCCCGGCCCAGCTAATTATTTCCTTACTACTCAATATTAACTCCGACCATACCACCACATCCTCCCCTCCAACCACCACTCCTTCTCTTCCTCTTCTTCCTCTTCTTAACTACTTTACCTTTACCTCCAGTTCTTCCCCATCCCATCCTTGTGGATTGCTTTTTTATCACCTGTTCCTCGTGAGTACTTCTTGATCCACTTTTCAATATCAGATTTCAATTTGTTGTGTTGTCTCTCCCACCCTCCCAAGTCTCCGGAGCGCGCAGTGGAGGTGGTCTACAAATGAGCCCGTGACGCTGGAATGGATATACTACTCAGTATAATTTCAGACATGTCTTAATCACCGAGACTCTCCTCTTCCAGCCCCGTGTTTCATTCCTATTAGCTGTTGTAATGATGTTTGCCCAACGGGCGTACTCTTTCCCCCCCCCATAGCACATACTGTACATGCTCTTCCATCTGGTGTTGTTGTTGGACCACGAAAGTCATTTATTCTGCATTGCTAGCTGAGAACCATCGTTTGTGGGAATTAGTGGTCATCCATGAGCTTCTACATAGGGTCGATTGTTTACTGATCCCAAGCACTGACGTCTACAGGTTACTCAGCTCTATTCCCTCGCTTCCGCCGCAACTCAACTCTCTCGCATCCTACGTCAGTCTCCGCCGGCTTTGGACCCAAGGCTTTGCCCTCTGCTTTTCCCCCCCCCCCATTCTTTTTAAACCCCCCTTCCCCCATACTCCCCAAATATCTTCAGAAATACAATCAAGCTGGCAGGAAGTAAGCGCCGAAGTTTTTCTAGCCAGGGTGGGTTGCTGAACCGAATGTTCAGTGGCTCCTCGAGCCCACCCAAAGATAGATCCGACACAACAATTGCCCGCTCCGGTGCTATTGACACGCCGCCTCTAAGCATTCGCACCGAGGATTCCAGCGTCACCCCCAAGAAATTCTCTCCGCCAGGTGGCTTCTTCACACGGAGGACAAGTGAGGATCAGGGCCCTGGCAGTGAGAAGAAGCGCCGCAGTAGCACGGTCACGAAAGCTGCCTCATTCTTCACCAGCGCCAAGAACTCCTTCAGCCTGTCAAGCAGTCCACGTGAGAATTCCTTCAACTATACCATTCAAGAGCAGCCTGGCCTGGCAAAGTTTGGGAGCATGGACCCTGCCTTGAGCGTTCCTCAAGGGTCATTAAATAACTCGGCTGGTGAATCGCATCCCACTGCACGCTCGTCATTCAGAGTCGGCGTCACCGAGGACCGCAATCGAAAATGTCGCCGGACTATGGAAGATACCCATGCCTATTTGTACAACTTCCTGGGGACTCCCGCACTCTCAGCCCAGGGTGAAACAGGCACGAAAGCGATAACCATTCCTACTGGCACTTCTCCCACATCCGAGAAATCAACCAGCGTGGTTGAAACCGACAATGGATACTTTGCCATCTTTGACGGACATGCAGGCACATTTGCTGCTGAGTGGTGCGGAAAGAAGCTGCATCTGATCCTCGAAGATGTAATGCGCAGGAATCCTAGCACCCCCGTTCCGGAGCTTCTCGATCAGACATTTACTAGCGTTGATCAACAGCTGGAAAAGCTGCCCTTGAAGAACAGTGGATGTACTGCTGTTATTGCTCTGTTGAGATGGGAAGACCGAGTGCCCAGCTCGCATTCTGCCACGGGGTCATCTGCCCTCGCATCCGCCGCCGCCGCCGCTGCCAAGGCCGATACAGATTCCGATGAAGCGGGCGATACTCCTACCCAGGCTGCCGTCTCTGGAGCACTTCCCAAACTACAGGAGAAGGCGGCTCGTCAGCGCGTCCTCTACACTGCCAACGTTGGTGATGCACGCATTATTTTGTGTCGCAATGGCAAGGCACTTCGTCTGTCTTACGATCACAAGGGCAGCGACGAGAACGAAGGAAAGCGGATAGCAAACGCCGGAGGATTGATCTTGAACAATCGCGTCAATGGTGTTCTCGCTGTGACCAGAGCTTTGGGCGATGCGTACCTCAAGGATCTCGTGACTGGACATCCGTACACCACAGAGACTGTTATCCAACCAGAGTCGGACGAGTTCATCATCTTGGCCTGCGATGGGGTAAGTGTTCCATTCACCAGACTATTCGTTATAGTGTTGCTGATAGAGCAATTTCTAGCTTTGGGATGTGTGTAGTGACCAGGAGGCTGTCGACCTCATTCGGAATGTGCCCGATGCCCAAGAAGCGTCTAAGATCTTGGTTGATCACGCGCTTGCACGTTTCAGCACTGACAATCTTTCTTGCATGGTCATTCGCTTCGATACGGAACGTGTCAAGGATGTGGTCAACCGCACCGCTGAGCCCATCGGCGTCGAAGGCGATCAGGAAACTGAGCACGGTGTCAGCGAGGCTGACAAGATCGTTGAGTCAGCTCGAAAGAGTATGGCCAAAGCGGGAATTACGGACAATCCGGAGAAGGCTGAGAAAGTCCAAGAAGAAATCCTCGAGAAGATGGCGAATGAGCAGCCCGAGCCTGCACCACTCATGAAGGAAGACAGCGGTGCCGCGATTGCGGATAAGTTGAAAGTGCCTGAACCCAGGAACCCAACTGCATAAGTACTCTGGAGTGAACTCCGACGCTGTGTATTGTTCTACTTAAAGTCGATAGAAGGACTGGGCTCTTGAACCCGGCCCGTTTTCTCGCTACAAAGGAGTTCTTTTTCGCTTCTGCTCCCCTCTTCCATTTTTGACTTTCCATCTTCTTTCTAACCATGCGTCTCTGGTGTCGATCGCGGGCTTCCTACTTTGTTGTTTTATTCTTCTCACACTGGGCCAGGGAAAGGAGTCGCGACAACCCGTCCCCAAACCCGCCTGCTTTTTGCCTTCGTTTTTCACCCCTTTTTACTTCCACTGGATCCCTCCAGCGATTTCCACCTTCGCTCCGAACCGCTTCTTTCCGTCTGATATGACATTCAGGGCCTTGGACTCCCTTGGCTTCGCCGTGAACGTGGAAAGCGAGGACAGACCAGCTGTGCCACTTGACTTTAGCTTGAATTATCAGCTGGTATTCTTGTACGCTACATATCGATGTATATTTGATCCGCAGGTCTGAAACAGAAGATGCATGAATCAAGCCTCCTCCGCAGACGTCTCGTCGTTTAGCTTTTCATTCGTGGGGGATGGATGAAATATTGAACCAATTCCAATTGAGTGTTTGTGTGCTAAACGCCATTGCATCATCTCCTCGAACAGGGAGAGAGAAAAAAAACTAAAATCTAAAAATACATTTTGTATCATGTAGAAGAACAGGGCGGTTATTTCGCAAGTATGTATATCGACACACACACACCCACATTGGGAAAGCCATCAAGTACAAAATAAAAGGAAAATTCATCCCGCGAGCTGCTTAGTTCTTCTCAGGAACGGCGTCGGCCTCGGCCTCGACGCCCTTCTCCTTGAACGCGTTGTCGGCCAGGATCTCGATATCGCCGGTGTGGATGCGCTTCTGGCCGGGCATGACATGGTCGCGGGTGAGATCCAACTCGCCGTGGCGGACGCGGTCGGGCCACTGGGCGGCGAACTGGGCATCGTGGAGATCGGTCCAGAGGATCTTGACGCCGTTCTCGGCCTGCAGCAGGGCGGCGGTGGCGGGGTCGTCCTCGACGACCTCCTGGATCTTGTAGTCGATCTGGGGCTTGCTCAGGACCTTCTCGAAGTCGGCGACGCGGGCGGCCTGGCGGGCGGCGACGGCGGCCTCCTTGATGCGGGCCTGGCGGCGGCGGCGGCGAGCGGCCTTGCCGAGGTAGCCGCGCTGGCCGCTGGCGAAGCCGTTGGCGATCTCCTCGGCCTGGATGTCGAGGACGGCGGCGACGTCGGCGACGGAGGTGGCCTTCTGGTTCATGACGACGCGGGCGCGGTCCTTGGGCTTCATCAGCCACCCCTTCTTGTCGGCCCACTCCTTGTCGAACTCCTCGGCCTTGTGCGGGTCGCGCGGCCGCTTCTGCGCCAGCCACTCCTCCGTGATGGTGACCATCTCGCGCGGCGGGGCCAGCTGCCGCTGCATCGCGAACTCGCGCAGCAGGTGGTAGGCCCGCAGGCCGAGCTGCGCGCTCGTGAAGTGCACGCTGTAGTAGGGGACCCACATGTCTTTGCGCAGGGTCGCCGGCACCGTCTTCTTGCCGTGGTAGACCAATTGGCGGAGGACACTGTTTTTCTAATGTAGAGGTAACAGAGAAGAGAGTGTGTCAGTGTGTGCTATTCTGAAGAAGAGGGGAAGTGATTCTTGTTGTCTCTCTCTCTTTTTTGTTTTTTTTTCCTCCTTCTTCTTCTTTCATGTTTGATGCTTCGGGAAAGTTGTGGGTTCGGGAGTTGTGCTCACATCCAAATATCTCGTCAACGAGTACACCACCTGGTTGGTCCGCATGTTGTGATAGACGAAGATGTTCTTGCCGTGGGTCAGGGAGTTCAGGGCCTTGCGTAACCGCGTCCCCTCCAACACCTGGTGTGTCTTGAAGGCATTCGATTCCCGGTCGCGGCGCCGTCCCTGGATGACGGTGTGCTCGTCGATCGGGGGCCGACGCACCACGTTCCATGTACCCATCTTGGTCGGGTCCAGGATCTTCTGGATCGGTTGCAGGATCTTCTTCATCGTGCCGCGCTTGGGAACGGCGGCTTGGGTGGCTGGGGTGGCCATTGCGGCCGGGGTTTGCGCGGTGGGTGTGTGTGTTGGGTTGGGTTGACTTCGTTGCTTTTCTGGTGCTCCGGGTCGGTGTTGCTCCGGTTCGGCGGGGGGGGGGGAGGTAGATGGATCGGTAGGGTTGTGATTGTGGTCTCTCTTCACTCTATCAGATATTCCCGGGATCCGATAGAGGAGATATTGGGTGGAATGGGTGTAGAGGTGGAAGTGGGTGAGGCTCTCTCACACCCGGGAAAGTCGAATAGGCAAGTTGCAAGTTTGGAGATCGGCCAGGAAAGGCGGATCAATTTTTCGACGGTTTCCCCGAACGGGGCGGTCGATTCCGCCCGCCTTTTCTTCTGGGCGGCGGACCAGGACCACCAACTGACGGACGAGCCAGAGCCAGCCTAGCTTACTGTGTTTGCTTTGCTGCACTCCCTCCAACTGCTGCTTGCATCAATCGCTGCGGCGTGCGATCATCTTCCCTACTCTACCTAACTTACTTCCCCCCACCTCAACACATTACGTCGTTTGCGATACTTAGTTCTTTGACTCCTTCTCTGCCTCTCTTTTTCTCTCTGTTGACTGTCGCTTTCAAGAAGCTAGTTGGTTTTGCTTTGCTAGATACCCCATTCCAATTGTCGTCATTTCATCTGATTCTTCTTGCTTCCCCTACTCCGTCCTTGTCTAGGATGATCGGGCCAATACCGCCTTCGCAGTGCGACAGCTAAGCTTGCCTTGCTTTCTCTTTGACCTGCCCGCGATGGCCGATGACAATGCAGGCGGTCGCCGTGAAAGACCTTGGCATTTCCCTCTGGTACCTTCTGGCCGTGTCATGTTGATTGTGTATATCCTCGGGCCAGACAACTGATTACCGTCTGTCTAGAATCGCAAGCTGCGACATCTCCAGAGCATCTCCGTCCGCAACCTCGTCGTCACACCACCGCCGACCAAACCTCGCGGGAAACCCATCGATGACGAAGATGTACCCAATTCATTGCAGTCGCCTTCCAAAGTCCCGATCGCCGATGTCAATCATTCCCTGCACCCGTCGCGCTCCTTTACCGATCTGAAGTCGTCGGCAACCACCAACCATCGTTCCGGGAGTCATAAGCAGGCAGCAGCAACACCACCACCACCACAACCAGCAGCAGCAGGCCCCCCATTGCGACAATGGCATCGGAGGAACACCATGCCGTGGAATGCTCCCAACCCTCGCGCCAGACAGACGAAGCTGGAAGAGATTACAAGCAGTCGCATGGCCGATACCTGGTTCTCTCTCCACTGCGACGGCGTCGAGAAACCGGTCTACGTGAGCGAACCGGTCGAGCATGCTACGAACCCTAGCTTCCAGTCTTTCGATCTCAACATGTGCGGCCCCTCAGTGTCACGACGGGATCATCTGACTGTCAAGCTCTGGGCCAAGACCCGAGCAATGGGGGACTTTGTGCTGCTGGTGGAACTGCGTTTATGCTTGCAGTCACTCCAGTTCCTGGGGAAGTCGCTGGATAGCTTCCATCAACCGCTGCCGGCGAATTCCATTCTCTTCCACTTTGCCGACGGTGTGTACACGAATTTGACCGATCTCCCACCGGTCCTGGCTGCTGCGCCCGTACACTACTTCAAAACGGCAGATGGCGTGGCGATGTCGACCTCGTCGTACGAGGCGCTCATGAAACTGGCCAATCTGGATGATTGCATCCAAGATGCGCTCACAACCAGGGACCGGATTGAGGCGCAGATCAACTCGATCCTCGACAGGGAACAACGCGGGGTGGCCGCCGCCGGGAATCTCTCGCAGGCTCGGAATAAACTCGCAGTCACCAAGCATGCCATTGCTACCGAGCGCCGGCATCTCCACAGTGCTGCAAGGCGTAGGGATGAATTGGTTAATAGCATCAAGACCAGAAGAGAGGCCATGGAGCATGGGCATGATGTCCAGGCCAGGGCCAGGAGCCACCTTCCCGATGCGCAATCGAAACTGGGCTCAAGTGCCAGGCTACTGGATAAGAACACTGAGGACTCGAAGGGTCAGATCCGGCGTATCTCGGAGGACTTGCTGACGGTCTACCCGATCGAGCCCATTCCCAACAAGCCACTTGCCTTCACCATCGCGGGCCTGGCTTTACCCAACTCGGATTTTACCGACGTCGACCGCGACGAGGTGGCGGCGGCCCTTGGATATACCGCCCACCTGGTCTACCTTCTATCCTTCTATCTCTCGACCCCGATCCCATACGCGATCAACCCGTATCTGTCGCGCTCGTTCATTCAGGACCCGGTGTCTGCATCGCTGCCCCAGAGGACCTTCCCCCTACACCCGGCCAGCGTGCAGTACCGATTCGAGTACGGCGTCTTTCTGCTGAACAAGGACATCGAGTTCTTGCTGAATGTACAGGGTCTACGCGTCCTGGACATCCGACATACCCTTCCGAATCTCAAATATCTGCTCTACGTGCTCACGGCCGGCACGTCGGAAATTCCGGCCCGCAAGGCGGGAGGCATCCGTGGGCTTCTCCCGGGACGATTGACTCCCAGCATGTCTCGACGCGGCAGCGAAGAGAGTGTGGCGACGCGCGAGTCGGTCGTATCTCGCAAGGCGATGATGAGTCCTGCCCCGAAGATGAACGGGAGTCTGGTGATTGATAGGACCAAACCGACGACGACAGCCATCCCTAGCTTCCCCGACACGGCTGCTTCTTCGGTCGCCTGAGCAGAGCGCAAGTGGCCCGCCAGCATTGACTCTGGAGTGAATGCTTGGCCCTTCTTATTAATCTGGGGCTGGTGGGCGGCGCATATTATCTAATATTCCTACTTTGTTGGCGTAAGACATGATTTTGTTTCGTCTTTTCTCTTCTCTTTTTTTTTTCTGTTTTTCTTCTATCGGATGAATTCCATTGGAGAGTTGCTGCATTAGTTGGATTAGCGTGACTGTGACCGGGGGTGTTCGTTCCCTTGATCCGCCTTATCGCAGCCAGCCATTGCACAGCTGAGGTCAGTTGTTGCTTTCTCACCTCCCAGCTTTATTTGTGATGGGTTGGTTGCTTAGTGTATTGTACATATTTTATCCGTTTGGACGTTATGGGTTCCCACTGTATCTGTAGGATATGAAAGACAATTGACATGCGATGCAGCCGTGAAAGTATACGTATACCTTGGTCGTCACCGCTGGTTTTCCTGATCGGGGGAATTCTGGACTGGATCCCGTGATTCTGACGAGGAATAGCCCGGAGTTTATTGGGATTACGATTGATAACAGATATAAGCCAGCATTCAGTCAGAGGCTGGCGATTTGTTTTTACCCCGCATTTCTGAGCTGACGGAAGAACTGTCCGGGTGGTGTTGGTTCAAGGAGTTGTGATTAAGTGGTTGTGGTGGTAGTGGTGCATCTTGAAAGGCATAAGTCAATGTAATGAATGTGGCTCCTATTCTTGGTAGAAAGGAGAATTAGTGTGTTGTTCAATTGTTGAAACTTGATTTTCTTTTTTTTCTCCATTCTCTCTCTCTCTCCCAAACACTCTCCGCATTTTGAGAGAAGGTTGGTTGCATCTCCACTTGCTTCTTTTCCTTTCTTTCGCGATCTCTGGAGGGAGACTAAGGTAAACTTTCCGAGGGAAAGTGAGTGAGTGGGTGTGTGTGTGGGTTGGGTTGTTGTGAAGAATAGAGAGCACTGCCGGACTAAAGAGAGAGAGATAAGGGAAAAGCAAAGGAAAGGTTGCTTCACTGCTGCCTGGGCCGGAAAGACCACAACAAACGGTTGTGCTGCTGCTGCTGCTGCTGCTGCTGCTGGTTCTTTCTATTGCTTGTTGCTGTTCCCGGCCTTACTCTCTGTCTCCCCCCCGTCTTGCGTCTTGCCTTAATATTATTTTGTCCCCCACCGCTTTTTCTCGCTTTGCATCGGCATTTTCCCCCCTCCCCCCTTCTCGGTCACTGTCCGTCCTCCGACATAGGAGACTCATCATGGCAGCACCTGCGAATACCGGCCCTCAGGAGCCTCTCTATTCGCACAACGGGCAAGACCAGAGTCAGAAGTCTCCATCGCCCCAGTCCCAGGCCCAGTCCCAGTCGTCCCAGCATCGTCGTGGATACCAGGCCTGCGACCCGTGCCGAAAGCGCAAGGTGAAGTGCGACCTTGGCAGTAAGAGAGATCCCCTGTCCCCTCTAATCTTTTTTCTTACCTTTCATTTGTGTTCCCCGGACTTTCTGGCTATAATTATGCGGTCACGAAATCCTACTTCAATGGAGAAAGACTAATTTCTGATTCTATTATCTCCTCAGGTGTGGATAATCCTCGTCCTCCTCCTTGTGTGCGATGTCGCCGCGAAAGCAAGCGTTGCGAGTTCTCCGCGACGAGGCGCAAACGCAAGCCCTCGGATGCGGACGAGACGGAGGACGCGGCCCTTCGTCGCGATAAGCGGATGATGGTCGGAGAGGTCATCTCCAGCCACGGCTCTAACAACAGCGATGCATCACCGTATATACCCTCACTGGAGCATGCGTCCTCTTCGACTGCTGCTGCGGCACCTTCCACGCTAGACACCAACAACAACCACACCCTCGGCCATCCGCGACTCAAGTGGTCGGAAAGTTCACCTGCCGCTGCTCATTTACCACCACCAACTGTCGGCAGCCACCACCAGCGTTACACCACTACCACCACCCCCTCTACCTCCACCACTACCAATAACCCCCAGTCCACGCCCGCAGCACATTTCGCCGATGCGCGGAGTAACCGTCTGTCGGTTTTCTCGGCCGCGGAGAGGAGCCATGCGCCCAGTTTCAGCCTCGAGGGCGGCCAGCCCATGATGAACCGCACCGCCGTCGAGCTGCTGTCGCCCGCCATCAGCAACAGTCACGACGCCTTGCACCTCCTGTCCGAAGCCGCCGGGCGCACAGAAGACCTCAATCGCCAGAGTTTGGAGAATCGTTACGGAGCGCGCCAGTCGGTCTCGTCGTTCAACTCCCCCATGTCCCCGCTCACCCAGGCGGGCACCCCGCGCAGTGCAGGCGGGTCGTTGTCGAGACCCCAGCGGTCCGGCACCGTCCCCGTCGGGGGTGGTTACTACCAGGCTGGTGGCGCCGGGGCGATGGATGGCGCCCAGCATCCGGATGGTCGTGGGCAGGCGGACGCGACGGAGAATACGCCAGACCCGGGCTTCGTGGATGCGGTCCGGGCATGGTCGCGATTGCGGTTCGTTCGTGCCGGTTGGCTGTCGGTGGAAGAGGCTATGGCTTATGTTGCATAGTATGTATTTTGGTTGCTTTGGTGGACAAATCTCCCTCGTACTGATGGATATGGCAGCTACTACGAACACCTGGCTCCCTTGAGTCCCATCGTTATCCCGGACTTCTCTCACCCGTCGACGCATCGGAGTCTGCTTACGGATGAGCCTGTCCTGGCGGTGGCGATCTTGACAACCGCGTCGCGACATATGAAGCCGAAAGGCGATGGGGCTTATACACGGGCGTTCTACATCCACGATCGGCTTTGGTCGTATCTCCGCGGTATGATCGAGCGTCTCTTCTGGGGCCAGGAGAAGTTTGATAACAACGGCATGGGGATCAGCCGGCCGCGGTCGTTCGACCTTGCGCCTACGTCTGCCAAGGTGAATCACAAGGGCAATCTGCGGTCGCTCGGTACTATCGAAGCGCTGCTTGTCCTGACCGACTGGCATCCTCGAAATCTCCATTTCCCTCCAGGTGACGACGAGAACGCTCTCCTGGATCTGGATGCTCACACGCAGAGTCGATACGAGCGAGAGCTGGAAACTGATGCGGAGAACACGGCGAATCGTGCCCCCAACAACGCCGCGGAGGGTCGGCTCGCCTTCCAGAAATGGCTCGAACCCGCCTGGCGGTCGGATCGCATGGCTTGGATGCTGCTGAGTACGGCGCAGGCGCTGGCCTTCGAGCTCGGAGTCTTCGATCAGAAGAACGACGCCAAAGCTGCCGTCGAATCTGTGTCCGAGCAGACTCGCAAACGCCGACTACGCCGTCTGATCCTCGTCTACATCACGCAGAGCAGTGGCCGCTTAGGAATCCCGTCCATGCTGCCCCTTCCGCAGTGGACCAGTGACATCCAACCGACTCCCGTGACGGGCGCGAAGGGCAGTGATACCATCGTCGACCGCATGCATGACTGCTGGATTGGAATCTCCAAGATCATGTACCAAAGCAATCAGCTGCTTTTCGCATCGAACGAGCAGACCTCGGAGCTTATCCGGAGTGGACGGTACCGGGATCAGATCGATCGGTTCCAGCCTTTTTTGAGGGAATGGCGACATAACATCGATACCATTGATTGTGAGTGATTTCCTAGTATTCCCATTCAAGATGCTAACCGGACCAGTGGCGCCCCCTATGAGGAACATCCTGATGATTGAATATGAGTATACCCGTGAGTTGTCCTGTGCTGTGATGTAAGGTAGTGTGGCTGACGGCCCAGGGCTCTACGTCAACTCCCTGGCGCTTCAGGCGGTGGTGGATCGGTGGACGACGATGTCAAACGAAGCGGCCCAGAGCCAGATGTCAAGACCGAATGCGGGCCCGTCGGCGAGCGGAGTTGGGTTTCACGTGCTCATGGAGTTGTATCGGGTCAACGAGCCTTACATCCAGGAGGTGGTCGATGCATCGCGCAAGATTCTGCAGACGGTGCTGGAGGTGCTTGTTCCTGGGGACCATCTCAAGCATGCGCCGGTGCGGACGTGTTTCCGCATTCTGTCGGGGATGATCTTCATTCTCAAGGTATGTATAGTGTGCGTCTGTCCGCCGACGGAATCCGCGCTGACATTTGCATACCTAGACTTTCACTCTGGGTGCCAAGGAGGATGATGTGCGTGTGTCCCTGGACCTCCAGGACCGCACCATTGAGGCCCTGCGGACCTGCGTGGTTGACGATGTGCACCTCAATCATGCCATTGCGCGACTGTTGGAGCTGTTGACGACCAGCATCCGCACGCGCTTCCTCCGGTTCGCCCCGCTGGACCGCGGTGGGGACGGGGAGCAGGAGCGCCCGTCGGCGCCGGTGTCACGACACCAGTCGCCGCGGCCGCGCGACGGAGCCCCGGGCCGTCGCGAGGGGTCCAGCCACACCTGGACGCCGGCGCAGCAGACCACGCCGACGCAGAACCAGAACCTGGGGTATGTCGACGGGACGAGCCAGACGGGGACGACCAGCATGAGCTCCTCGGTGCATGACCCCCTGGCGGCGATTCCCGCGCAGTCGATCAACTCGTCGCACATCAACGTCTCATTCATGCCCCCTCCGCCGTCCATGTACCACAACTACTACGACCCTAGCGCGACCCCGCCTGCAGGGGAGATGGAAGGGGGCGGCGGTGCGGCGGCGGCGTCCGCCTCGACGACGACGACCAACAACAACCACCACAGCAACGTCACCGCGTCGCAGTCGATGCCGGACAACAACCCCAGCACCTCCGGCGGACTCCCGGACTGGTTCGCGCTCCCGCTGGATCAGTTCTTCAACAGTTCCACCGCGGTAGTGGACCAGGGGTTGGGCGGCACGGGCCCAATGGTGGGGGAATTCGACATGTTGGAGGTCCTGCTTAATGAACAGTATGATGGTGTTGGTGTTGGCGTTGGCGCGGAGGGGAATGATGCTGCCGCTGCTGCCAACCTGCCCTCGCAGTTTTTGTCATCGTGAGATCCGGAGTATTTTGGGGAGGATTTGTAATTAGGAGATAAGGGGACGCAGAGGGAGTGGTATGACTGTACGAATTACGATATCATAGTTTTTTTTGGGTGTCGTGTGTATCTCGATTAGCTAGGTCTGTGGTTGTATTGTACTACACAATCTACTGCTGCTGCTGCTGCTGCCGCCGCTGCAGGTCTCAGATGCGTCATTTCGGGGCCCGGTTACCTCACCCATTGTTATCATTTCTAGTCGGTATGAGGTTATCAGTGGGTTTATCAGTGCCGATAGTCTATCTCCTGATCCTCACGATCACTTAGTTTATTGCGCGTAGTCTAGTCCCTGTGGTGTCGGGGTCTGGTGTAGTGGGGGTTCAACTAAGGGGGGGGTAATTGTTTAGCAGTGCCTTAGCCAAGCCAAGTCAAGTTAATCTAAAATCCCAGGGTCCAATAATTCATCGTGGTATCCTGGCTCACTCACCA